TGGGTTTGTTTGGGGTTTTTCCCCCTCCCCCTTGTTTTCCAAGGAGGAGCTGGAAATGAAGATCCGGTTCCTTCTCTGCCAGCTTTGAAGGGTAACCCTGTGACTTACTGGGATTCTGAGCATGTCTATGCAAAGTTGGATTCTTGTTACAGTGTATCCAATACTATGTATTGCACATAGGTACTGGGACTGTTAACACTGATGCCAATACAGTGTGGGGTGCCAGAAAGTGTCTGCTGAAATTGGGGGGGGAGGGAACAAAGATTCTCACCACTGGGCCAATAGGCAGCATCAGTATGGATGGTGAAGAGATTGAGATAGTTAACAGTTTACTTGGTTCCACAGTAAACACTGTTGGTAACAGCAGCCAGGAAATCAGGAGACGAATTGCATTGGGAAAGTCAGCTGTGAGGGACCTAACGACGTCAGGCTGGAGACTAAGATGCACCTGATCCAGGCTATAGTCTTTGCAATTGTGTGCTATGCATCGGAGTGTTGGATAGTGAATAGGGATGATAGAAAGAGAATTGATGCCTTTGAGCTGTGATGCTGGAGAAGAGTGTTGAATATACCATGGACTGCTAGGAGAACAAACAAGTTTGCCCTGGAGAGAGTGAAGCCAAAATGCTCCTTGGAGTCAAGGATTCTGACGCTTCGTCTGATATACTTTGGGCATGTTGCAAGGAGGGTCTGCTCCTCGGAGAGGGACATCATGTTTGGGAAAGTGGAAGGATGGCACAGGAGAGGAAGATCCTCAATGAGATGGATCTATTCTGTGAGTGGAGTGGTGGGAATGCGTGTGTTTGAGATGGAGAGGTTGGCACAGGATAGAACGGCTTTTAGGGCTCTTGTACATAGGGTCGCTATGAATCACAAGCAACTCAATGGCACATAACAACAACTGTATCAAAGCGGAGTCTTGAGGGGAGAATGGTAGTATTTTTTTTTATCAGCTGTGAAAAAATGTTTCAGATCTGCACGTTTTTGTGTACTATTGTGTGTGTGCTTTGAGTTAATGTTCTTGTTTTAGTTTTTCTTTGCCTTTTTAAAAATTGTTTGTGTGGCAGTAACAGACTTTGATGGCTACCTCTTTAAAATACCGTACAAAGACTTCCTAAATGTGATTCAGGGCCCCCAGCACCCCTGTGTCTGCAGAGTGCCTTCAAAACTCAGCTGTTCCAGCGAGCGTCAACCTGTGAACTTCCCACTATAACCTATTTTCCGCTATTCTTTAATCCACTTCCCAGTTTCCTTTTAGTAATCTTCCTAAACAAGCCAGGACAAGAGAGCCTATTGTTTAATAAATTTCTTTATTATTCCCAGTCCTTAAAGTCTAATTTTCATGCTTTTCATTTTCTCTTTTTCTCTGTGTGTGTGTGTGTGTGTCATTTTGTTCAACTTTTCAGGCATTAGCTCCTTTTCTGCATTTTATAATGGTTTATTGTTCTAGAATGTTCCTCCAAAAGCAAAGAGCAAAATTTACTTTAGTGCTGTACCAAAAGGATTCCTACTAATTGTAATTTTTTTAAATTCCTGACATGTGTTTAATTGTTGTCTATTTGTTTTATGACTTTTAATACAAATGTCATTTTTAAGAAACAAAACAAAAAAACAATACCAATTACAACAGCCAACCACAAGATTAAATACTTAAGAAAAAATCTAACTAGAAATACAAAAGACCTATATAAAGAAAAGACAAAACACTACTACAAGAAACATACCATGATCACAAACAGGAAGACTCAATATTGTGAAAATGACAAGCCCACCAAAAGAAATAGACATGCCCTATGCAATTTCAATTCTGATACTTATGCCATTCTTCAAAGAGATTGCAGAGGTAATTTCAAACTTTATTTGGAAAGGAAAGAGACCCCAAATAAGCAAAACTCTACTGAAAATGAAAACAAAGTAGGAGGTATTATCTCAAAACCTACTACAAAGCTATAGTAATCAAAACTGTATGGTACTAGTACAGCAACACACAAACATAGATCAACAAAATAAAACTGAGAACCCAGAAATCAACCTACCTACCTACAATCAAATGATCTTTGACAAGGAGACAAAATCCCTTAAATGAGGAAAGGACAACCTCTTTAATAAATGATCCTGGCAAAAGTGGACATCTAGCTGCAGAAAACTAAAGCAAGATCAAAACCTCACACTATATTCAAAATCCAACTCAAGGTAGATCAGGGACCTAGGAGTAAAACCAAAACCTACAAAGCTGCTCAGAGAAAGAAACAGCAATAAATTTAGAAGGTCTCATTTCTGGCATGAAGAGACTTCCTAACATAGCAATGGATTGAGAAATTTTGGTATATGTACACAATGAAATATTGCAAAGCATGCAGGAGCAATGATTTTGTAAGTCACTACCTAACTCGGGAAGGACTGGAGAACATTATGCTAAGTGAACTAACTTGTTCTCATAAGGATAAATACTGAAAAAGACCATTATGGCAGAAATACATAACTAGTAAAACGTGTATGAGGACCTAAGGGGGTAAGGGCAGGAGTAGAGGGGTGAGGATGTGCAAAGGGTGGTAATCATAGGGTCACACAATTTGATGGGTGGAGGGAAGGGTGGGTTAAGGAAAAGGGAAAGATTCAGAGTGAAAAACAATGCATATGAACTTTGTAAGTAAACCAGTAAAAAATTTAAAAAATTACATAAATAAATAAATTCATACATACATACATACATACGGGGACTGGGGGGGGGGGGCGGAGATAGCCAAAAATGCAAAACCAAAAGAGAAAAATAAATTAATAGGATTGTCTTAAATTCAAATCCTGTATGCATCAAAAACTTCTTCAGTAGGATGAAAAGAAAGCCTTGGACTGGGAAAAATATTTGGTAATGGCATATCTGATAAGAGACTCTATCTAACATTTATAGAACAGTCTAGTATCTCAACAAAAAAAAAGACAACTCAATTTGCAAAATGGTCAGCAGATATGAAAAGACTCTTCATCAAAGAAGATATTCAGATGGCCAACAATCACATGAACAAATGCTCAAGATCATTTGTTTTTTGTTGCTGTTGTTACGTGCTACCGAGTAAAACTCATAGTGACTCTACGAACAACAGATCTGAACTCTTTCATATCCTGTCATCTTCATCATCTGACATAGTTGAGCCCATTGCTGCAATCACTGTGTCAATCCATCTCGTTACAAGTCTTCTCTCTTTCGCCGATCCCCCACCTTTCCAAGTATGGTGTCCCTTTTCCAGGAATAGCCCTTCCTAACATGCCCAGGGTAAGTGAACAAAGCTTTGCCATCCTCACCTCCAAGGAGATTATGACTTCACTTTCTCTAAGAAATAAGTATCTGTTCTTTTGGCAGTCCATGGGATATTCAGTTTTCCTCTCCAACACTACAATTCAAAGGAATCAGTTCTTCTGTCATCATTTACTGTCTAGCTCTCAGATACATAGCAAGTGACTGAAAAGACCATGGCCTGAATCAGGTACACTTTAGTCTTTAACTGACACCAATGTTCTTCAGTAGTCACTGACAGCAGACTTTGCCAAAGCAACAAGTCATCTGAGTGCTTAACGACTGGTGCCAATGGTGTTGACTGTAGTAATATACAATCATCGAAAATTTCAATCTTTGGTCCATCTATCAATACATTGCTTATGAGTCCAGTGGTGATGATTTTTGTTTTTTTATGTTGAGATATAATTCATACTGAAGGCTGTAGTCTTATTTCCTGCAGCAAGAATTTCAAGCTTTCCTCATTTTCAGCAAGCAAGGTTGTATCATCTGCATTATGCAGGTTGTGGATGAGTCTTCCTCCTATTCTAAAGCAAAATTCTTCTTTGTAGAATCCAGCTCAAAATAACAAAAACATAACATCTTACCACAACAATAAAACTCTAACAGGGTAAAAAAGAAACCCACAAACTGGGAAAAATATTTGGCAGTGTAACATCTGATAAAGGACTTGTATCTAAAATGTATAGAATACTCCAGTATCTCAACAAGAAAAACATAAACAAATCAATCATGAAATCTCATAGGATATAAATATTTTACTGAAGGTGAAATTCAGATGGCAAACAAATAAACAAACAAAATGTTCAAAATCCCTAGCTATCAGTGATATGTAAATAAAAACAACTATGAGTTATCATATCACCCCAGCAACAATAGCAAAGTTCAACAGGGCAGCAAAAAACAAATGCTGGCAAGGTTGTAGAGAGATTGGACTCTCTATTCACTACTTGTGGGAATGTAAAATGGTGCATCCTCTATGGAAGGCAGCATGGTGCTTTCTCTACAAGTTGAAAACAGAAATACCATTTGACTCAGCATTTCCACTACTGGGAATATATCTGAAAGAAACTAGAGCCATGACTCTAAACAGATATATGCTCACCCTTGTTTATTGCTACATTAATGACAACAGCAAAGAGATGGAAGCAACCCAAGTGCCCATCAACAAACGAATGGATAGAAAAATTGTAGTACTTTCACACAATTGAATATTATGCAGCATTGGAAAACAATGTACTCGTAAAACATTATACAATATAGGGGAGCCTGGAGGACATTATGCTGAGTGAAATATCTCAGTCACAAAAGGGAAAATACTATATAACACCACTGTTATTAAATAGGCCTGATATGGAGACTGGGAGAACAGGAAAAAGAGTAGATTACGTAATGAACACTGCACTGGAACACATGAGGGGAAGAACTATCTGAAAGGAATATATGATTACATATTATATGTATATAATGAATCCAGAGAACAATCTGAAAACAATAGGTGCATTGCTAAGGGGACTAAAGAATGGAGAGTGAGGGAGGGATAAAAATGTGCAACAAGAATACATGAAAATTTGAACTTTCTAAAAACTTTCATTAAAATTACAATTTAAACAAATTTTAAAAAGAATCCATAGTGAGGTATTTCCATAATAAAGTTAAACAGGCCTAGAAAGTGCTTTACTATGAAAGATTTGATCATTTCTCTTACCTCTGTTTCTGTACAATGTGAACATTCCAATTTACCTGTAATATAAATACAAGAAGTTATTTCTGTTAAAGAAAAATATTAAATTAACAACAGACATCTTACTTTGTGTTTAAGGATTTTTTTTTTTTAATCCATAAAACCAAAAGTAACAGTAAAGCAAGCCCCAGCCAAACAAACCCAAGCCTGATCCCTCCACTTCCTTCCTTCCTAAAAGAATGCTTTTGCTGACTGGAAACCATTACCTTCTAATTAAATGAGTAAAACAATGTACTTTCTAATTTCAATTTCAAGAAGTCTCAAGGCTGCAGGTGAGAAGATATTAAGTGCCCTCAAGTCCACTACAATCACAGTGACCCCCACAAACAACAAATCAGAATCTTGCCCTATCCAGTGCCATCTTGACTTGCTAGAGCCCATTACTACAGTCACTGTGTCAATCCATCTTGTTGAGCCACCGCCCTCTTTCTCTGAACCTCCACCTTTTCTATCAAGATGTTTTTTCCCAAGGACGGGCCCAAAGTATGTGAAACAAGCTTCACCATCCTTGCTTTTAAGGAGCAACCTGGTTACACTTCCTCCAAGTAAAAGTTACTTGTTCTTCTAGCAGTCCATAGGATACTGAGTATGCTTCCCTCCCCCCAAAATCACAGGCATCAATTATTCTTCTGTCATCCTTAGTCAATATCCAGTTTTTTGATGCACAGAAAGCAACTGAAAAGGCTTCATTCTGAATTAGGCACATTTTAGTCCTTAAACTGATGTCCATGTCTTATGCACTTTAAAGGGGCCCTTGGCAGCAGATTTACTCAATATGACACAATTTCTGATTTCTTGACTATAATTACTATGGATGTTGATTTTCAGTTCAAATAAAAGTAAATCCTTCATAGCTTTATCTTTCTCCATCTATCATGATATTGCCTATTGATCCAGTGCTGTTGTTGTTGCTAGGTTCCACAAGTTGACTATGACCAATAACAACCATATGAACAAGAGATCTGAACCCTCTCCTATCCTGTGCCATCCTCATCATCTTTGACATACCTGCTGCAGTTTGTCAATCCATCTCGTTAAGGGTTTGCCTTTCTTTTGCTGACCTTTCTCAGCATGATGTCTTTTTCCAAAGATTTGCCCTTCCTGACAACATATCCAAAGTATGTGGATGAAGCATCATCATCTTTGCCTCTCACCCTGGTTGCACTTCCTTCAAGTCAGATTTGTTTGTCCTTTTGGCAGTCCATGGGATATTCAGAACTCTTCATCGACACCAAAATTCAAAGGCAGCAATTTTTCTTTCATCTTTATTCAATGTCTAATTTTCAGATGCATAGGAAGTAACTGACAAGACAAAGGCTTGCATCAGGCACACCTTGGTCTTTAAACTGACATTCTTGCTCTTTAGTACTTTGTAGCGGTCCCTAACAGCAGATTTTCCCAATGTAACATGTCCTCTGATTTCTTAATTGCTGGCACCAATGTTAATTGTGGATCCAAGAAAAATTATGCACATAGTCAGATGCCATTTTGGTCTAAGTGAGGTCCAGAGTTCTGGTCTTCTCATTCTCTTAAATGTTATCATAATGTATTATGATCCACAGAGTCAAATGTCTTTTCATAGTAAGTAAAACACAAATAAATATATTTCTGGTATTTCTCTGCTTTCAGCAAGTTCTGACACCAGCAATAATATTCCTCATGATTCCTTCTTAATCCAGCTTGAGTTTCTGGCAGTTTCCTATCCATATACTTAAAAAAAAATCTTCAGCAATATTTTGCTTGCATGTGATATTAATGATATTACTCAATAATTTCCAGACTTCTCTGAATCACCTTTTTTTTTTATGGCACTGAAACAAAAATGGACCTCTTCCAACCAGCTGACCTTACAGGTGTCTTCCACATTTCCTGGCTTAGGCTAGTTAGCCCACTAAGGACTGGATCTTTTTCCTGAAACACTTCAATTGGTGTGTGTTAGTAGGTAAAACATTGTGTTGGCATCCCAAAGGCAGGTGGTTCAAGTCTACCAATGGGATAAAGAGGGACAATCTCATCCTGTACAATTTACAATCTCTGAACACCTGCTGGAAGGTCAGCTATGAGTCAGTTCTCAGTGGCAATGAGTTTTTTTAGTTCTTTTTTTCAATGCTTTCAGTAGAGCTTGACATTTTCCATCATTAGCACTGGGTTTCTGAGCATAGGCCACTTTCTGAAATAGTTCAACAGATGAGTGAAAGGTCAAAATCTGGCCATCTCATTTTTAATGTTAACTCAGTAGTCATTAATTAGTCACTATGGAAACATGTCTTCACTAAGGAAAAATACACTTAAAAGTTTTTGTGAAATCTCAAGTCATTGATAGTACTTTTTTTTCTTTTATATAGAGGAAACTGGCATTCAATAACCTGCAAATCTTTTATTAAATTATGAAGGCTAATATTATTGTTCTGAGCTAATTCAAATGTTTTCTTTAAACAATGGTAAATAGTCTACATTAACTCAAAGCAGTAATCTTCATTGGATTAGACTGCCACATCTTTCTTTTGGTGACTGATTTGAACAGTGGCCTTGAGTTAGCAGAAAAGTAGTTAATGATAGGGCTCTCAAAAAAAAAAAAAAAAAAGTTTCCTGTTTCGAAAATGGCATCATGCTGGGAAAGGTAGAGAGTTATCTAAAAACAGGAAGATCCTTCAATGAAATGAAGTGAAACAATGGGCTTGAGCACATCAAAGATTATAAGGATGGCACAGGATAGGGCAGGATTCACAGGGTCACTGTGAGTCAAGCTGACTTGATGGCATCTAATAACAGCAACATCAGGTTTCCTAGGCTGTAAATCTTTACAGAAGGAGACTATCCCATCTTTCTCCCATGGAGAGCACTAATAGATTCCAACTACAACCCTTTACCATATTATCTCCCCAGAGGGGTTTTTTGTGCACATGGACAAACATCCTGGTCTGATACTTTTGGCCTGGCCCTGAACTGCCTGTTCTATAAGACTGACATGAACTTTGTAAGAATTAGTCAGCTGGAACGAGCCCTAAGCAAGCAGCTACAGGCATTGCAGTGGTCAAGTGACAAAAGCAGTGACAAATGACAAACTCATAAAGGATGGACGGTACAGTCAGAGGAGCCAAGAGGGGGTGCCATCCTCCTGACCCAGAACCATACAATGCTGCTTCCTTAAAATACCCAGAACTCACCCCTAAAGCACTGCCTCTGAGTCAGTGCCAACACCTAGTGACCTTCCTTCAAGTTTCCAGGTTGTAAAACTTTTGTTAAGTAACTTTAATTAACTAAATGTTGCATTATCTCATAAAACAAACATCATAACATGTTAATTATTTTCCATGATGGTTGCTTCATTTTCAGCATATCTCTTTTCAACCTGATTCAAATATTTATTCTATGTAATACTGCCAACACAAAAGTTGCATAGTAAGTTCATCTCTTGTGCCAATTCTAACTGAATGCTATCTTCAGAAGTCTCAAAGTAGGAGACATCCAGAGCCATTTAACAATGCTATGGAAGTAGAGAGGTATGATAACCTAAGTGCTATATTTTTCATACTCCACTGTTTTAGAGAATGGGGTTAATTAAAGTTGTGGTGCTTTTTTAAAATTTCTTTTTATTTTATTTTAATTTACATACTAAGTTTGTATACAGTGTTTCATTCATATATATCATTTCATTCATATACACTGTTTTGACACATTACTTCATTCACACTGTATTTTATACATTCTGGATTGACATTTTTTACAGTTATAATAATTCAAGTATTAATGGCTAGGTTCATGAGACTTTAAAAATAGACTGAGCCCATAGTGCCACATATATCACTTCTTCATGAAGAAAGACAACTTGCAAAGGAAACTTTCCAAGCCAAATCATTTTTTAAAATCTCAACTGAAGAATGCTACTTTTAATACAGGATGTGGAAACTGCTGAACAGTATCATTAAAAGTATATGCAAGCAAAATACTGAAGATCATTCCAAAATGTCTAGAACAGTAGACAGGGAACTGCCAGAAGTTCAAGCTAGATTTAGAGGAGGCTGTGGCACCAGGGATTATTGCTGATGTCAGAGAGCCTGGCTGAAAGTAAGGAATACCAGAAGAATGTCTGTTTATTGATTATGCACAGGCATTTGACTGTGTGGATCATAACAAGTTGTGGCTGACATTGAGAAGAATGGGAAGCCCAAAACACATAACTTTGCTCATGTGAAGTCCACACCTAGAATAAGAAGTTGTTGTGCCAACAGAGCAAGAGAACACTCTATATAGTATAATATTAAGAAAAATGTGAGTCAGGGTTGTAACCTCTCTCCATAACTATTCAATCAGTATGCTGGGCAATCTGAGAAGTTGAACTCTATAAAAAAGAATGTGGTATCAAGATCAGAGATGACAACACCTTGCTTGCTGAAAATGAGGAGGACTTGAAGCACTTGTTGCACAAGATCAAAGAATACAGTCAACATGGATTACATCTCAATGTCAAGGATAAAAATTCTTAGCAATGGACCGATTAGCAACATCATGATGGAGAAAAGTCTGAAGTTGTCAACTATTTCATCTTGCTTGGATCCACAATCAACATCCTTGGAAACAGCAATCAGGAAATCAGGAGATGTATTGCAATGGGAAAGCCTGTAGGTAGGGATCTCTCCAAATTATTGAGGAGCAATGATGTCAGTTTGAGGACTAAGGTATGTCTGACTCAGGCCATGGTCTTTCCAATCACTAGCTATGCATCTGAGAGCTGGACAGTGACTAAGGTTGACAGAGGAAGAATTGATGCCTGTGAGCTGTGGTGTCAGAGAAGACTACTGAATAGCCCATGGATGGCCAAAAGAACAAACAAATGTGTCTTAGAGAAAGAAGATTATGTCCTTCTCCAAGGAACAGCCCCTCCTAGCAACATGCCCAAAGTATGTGAGATGAAGCATCAACATCTTTGCCTCCAAGGAGCAGTCTGGTTGTTCTTTATATACTACATTTAGTAGAAAAGTAAGTTCCCTACATAAAA